TGACTTATCCAGGGTCACACAGCTAGCAAGTAACTGAGGCTGAATTTGAACTCAGGAAGATGAGTCTTCCTGATTCCAAGGCCAGTGCTCTATATCCACTGCACTACCTAGCTGCCACATATTGACTTAGAAAACCACAAATTACTATTATCTCCATTTATTGGATTTTTATTCATTTTCTTAAACTTATCTTGACTACATTCTTATCTGGTTCTGCCCCACTGAGGCTGACTGGAGCTTGACCTCTCTGCAACAGCAATGAAACCGTATTTTAAAGATATAATGAGTATGAAGAATTCTAAGAAACTTGGGGAAATAAACTGGCATAGAACAAAGAAAGCACAATCAAGAGAACAATACGCACAATGACCACAACAATTTAAAGGGAAACAGCAAAGAATTTAGATTAATGTTATCACCAATCTCAATGTCAATCAGAGAGCTGATGATGTAACATACTTCTGAGAAAAAAAGATAGTAAACTATGAATGCCAATGAGGCACGCACTGTCAGATATGGTCTTTGTTTCCCTTTGTTTTACTTAACTTTACTTCTTTGTTTAAAAGTGTGGGAAAGGGTCTAGAGAAAGAAAAGAGATATTAGGAAATGACAATGGTTTCCAAAAAAAGCAATAGAACAATTAAAATGATGTTATTTTGGCAAGATGAGTGGAAGCAATCTCTTTAAAACATATTAAAAATTTCATACAAATTTTACTTTCTTTTACAAATTTCTTACAAAACTTCATTTTGTGAATAATGAGTGTGAAAGAATCAATAGCTGATGAAGAAATGCCAGCAGCAAAATTTACCAGGCATACATAGAGGGCAGAAATCAAGACACTAGTGGTTATAGCACTAGTCCTCCTGATTTCAGGAGGACCTGAGTTCAAATGTGGCCTCAGACCAAACACTTGACAATTTGACACTTACCAGCTGTGTGACCCTGGGCAAATCACTTAACCCCAATTGAAAAAAAAAAAAAGAACAAACAACAACAACAAAAAACAATGTCCCCCTTTGAGGCTAAGCAGGGTCGTTCTGTAAATTCCTCTCATCTCTTTCCCCATCCCTAGTTACCCCTGATATGACAAAAGAGATACTAAGCAGCAGTCTGCAGACTTAATACACATCTCTAGAGTAGCAGAACAAATTCTGCATACTTAAATTGCTATCTAGAACTTTATTCTGGAATTTAATCAGCAGCAATACAAGAAGAAAGAAGTCTAGCATTTATTCTTCTGTATTTTCACATCTTCTGTCAATGTTTAGCTTATCTGTCAACCAACTCTGTCAACTTTTGTTGCTTTTGTCCCTCAAGCAATATGGAAAGGGACTAGGAAGTTCTAAATTCAAAAGCCAGCAATCTACAGATGAGGAAATCCAGGGAGCTGTAAAGAAAACTTAGTCTAGGGGAATTGAGGTCAGTACAGAGCAAGGTCAAGAAAGTATAAGAATGAGGTTTTAGCTACTGATGCAAACAAGGCAATATTTTTTTTTCAATGTCAGTGTAAAGTGAGCCATTTGTTACTGTTCAGTCATTTCAGTCATGTCTGACTCTTCAAGAACCCATTTGGGGTTTTCTTGGCAAAGATACTGAAATCGTTCACCATTTCTTCTCCAGATCATTTTACAGATGAGGAAACTGAGGCAAACAGGGTTACGTGCCTTGCCCAGGGTCACACAGCTAGTAAATGTTGGATGCCATATCTAAATTCAGTAACATGAGTCTTGCTAGCTCCAGACCCCCACCAACATCCACTCTGCCACCTAGCTGTTCTTAAAGTTAGTCATGCCCTTTCCCCGTTCAAAGGAAGGCAACAATGGAAGGAAGTCCTTATATTATAATGCCCTTACATTACATTCTAATGTAAAGACTTACAACACCAAAGAAATCTTTGCATTATAATAACCCATTAAAACCACTTATTCATCTGATGTATTGATTAGTCAAGTCCAAGAGTGATACTTCCTATACTTTTTTATGCTCTTAATGATTTCTGGGGCCCCAATCATTTAAAATATTCCAGAATATGGCTCAGAAATCACTCATTTAGGGTAAACAATGAGCATGCTGTGAGACAACAGCTAGCTAGACAGCTAAGTGGTGTAGCGGATAGAGTGCAGGACCTGGAATCAGGAAGCCCCAAATTCAAATACAGCCTCAGACACTTACTAGCTATGTGACCCTGGCAAGTCACTATTAAATGACTCTCTCTGCCTTATTTCCCCTCCCTGTAAAATAGGTATAATACCTTGTACCAGTGTTAATGTGAGGATCAAATGAGATGCTAGTTGTAAAGCTCTTAGTACAGTGCCTGGCACATAGTAGGTACCATATAATTGCTAGCTACTATTAGCTTTATCATTATTATTAGATAAAAGACCGCAATTCTCCAGCTTCATCCATGGCTAATAATCAGAGGAATCATCAAGATCTGGAGTCATCGTGAGAAGCACTGTAGCTCAGACATCAGTCTTCCTTATCACAGACATATTACATACATAGCAATGTGAAGTGTCAAGCTAGACTATCAATAACAATGAGGCTCTGATCCAGAAAGTATTCATCAGTTCCAACAAGCATGTAATTCAACTAGCTTCTTCAAAACAGTCTCATTCTGAGATGGAACAGGTGAACAAATAAGAAATATAGGGTGATTTGAGGGAATCTTCCAAAAGATCTATTCTACCTGTCCCTAAACTCTCCCCATACCAGTCTATTACTGATGCTTGAGTAATTATAACAATACCTAGCATGATTAGTAATCATGGCAAGTAATAATAGTTGCTAATAATGATATTAGTTGTGATGATGATGATGATGATGACAATGGAACCAATATATTTCTATTCTAACATTTCAGTAACAAATGTGTTACCACGAAAGAAAAGAGTAATGACACAATAATCGATCTATCAATAAACCTACTATGTGCTAGTTACTGTGTTAAGTGTTGTATATACAAAGACAAAAGTGAAGCAGACCCTGCCCTCAAGGAGCTTACATTCTAATTCAGTAGACAAAGTACACATGTGTAAGGATAGATAGATAGATAGATAGATAGATAGATAGATAGATAGATAGATAGATAGATGGATAGATAGATAGATAGAAAACGTCCAAGGTAACCTTGGAGAGTAAAGCATTAGCAGATGGGAAGATAAAAAAGGCTCCCTAAGAAAAGCAATACTACAATTAACTCTTAAAGGAAACCAAGAATTGAAAGAGGTGAAGAGGGAAGGTATTCCAGGCATAGAGGAGAGTGAGGTCAATATGAGGTACAGTAAGAAGGCCAGTTTGTCTGGACAATAGATTTGCGTGGAGAAAAATACAGTTTGGAAGAGCTGCTGAACCAGACCAAGTATGCCAAAGAGAATTATGAATAACTAAACATTTGGGAGAAGAAAAGATGACTCACATAACTATTTCAGGCTTTTATTCCCCTCTACTAGACAGCTGCAGAAACATTTCGATATACCCAGGAGAAATCTGAGCTAGAGGTAACACAATTTTGAAAGCACTGAGGGATAGCAAGATATCCTGAATGAGGAAGATGCCAAATGAATGGAAAAAAAATCACAGATGGTATTACTGTCAAAAAGAGATGAACAAGAAGGACACCAACAACAACCATGAATGTGTATGACTTCTTTCCCATCTCTATAATGCCTTTTAAAAAATATAAATTGTATTTTGATTTCCATTGATAAGTACTTTAGGAGCCTGCTTGCTTAGTCATCCATAGCAGTATCACATAAATTAACTCAGTTCTAGATGTCAGGGGAAAGAACTAGAGCCTCACACAACTTAAATCTTACTACAGAGTTTATTGGTAATATACAAACCACTGATGGTATACATAGAAAGGATGCCACTATACCTGTGTCCATCAGCTCTAATAGATACCAATTTCTCAACTATTTTCTCTAGTCCCTATGAGGCAAATTTAGGGCACATGGTACCTCTGGTGTTAACATAGCCCTGTCCAGAGCTAAAGGTTAGATCTGAGTGGAAGCAGGGAAATTAGGTGATGAAGTGGATTGAGCACTGAGTCTGGAGTCAGGAAGATCTGAGTTCACATCCTGCCTCAGATGCTTTCTAGGTATGTGACTCTGGGTAAGTCCATCAGCTACTATGTTTTCTCAATCATAAAATGAGAATAATAATAGCACCTACCTCCCAGGTGATGAATAAATGGAATAATATTTTTAAGAGCTTAGCACAGTACCCAGCACATAACAGATGTTATATAAGTGTTATCATCATCATCATCATCACCATCATCAGGTGCCAGGTATAGCATTGTTAAATCATCTCCCTGTTCTCTCTTCTCCTCTCATCTCCTTCTCCTCTATCTTTCCCCTTTCTCTTTTCTCCTTCACCTCTCTCTTTATCTCTTCTGTCTTTCTCCCCTCTCTCCCTTGCCCTTCCTTCCTTCCTTCTGCTCCCTGTCCCACCCCCAACAGGAATAGGGAACTCCCTGTGGCCTCATGTCAAGGCATACTCAATGAGAAACAGAAGAGGTGAATTAATTTACTACCATATAAACAAGGAATCTTCCATATTTAGGGTTACCATTGAGAATTATATTCACAATTTATAGATGTCATTCTGGATAAGCACATATGTTTATTTTAAGCTAAAAATAATCTTCCTCCAGGTTTTTGTTAAATAGCTCTAAATCTCTCTCTGAAACAGCATCATCTGTTTTTTCATTTATCAGGATTCAAATCACCAACTCACCCACTGTCCATTAATGAAAAGATCCCAAGGAAAAAGATCACTATTCATGAACAGTAAAAATAAAAAACCCAGCTATATAAGGAAGAACAAAAGAAATGAACATAAGCGCAGAAAAACAAGTAAAAGAAGTTATTAATGATTTTTCACATGTCCATAAACTTCTTTTTCTCACCACTTATTTTTCAACTGTATTTATTATAGTAGCCAATAATAGAAGATTTTATGTAGAGCCTTAAGATTTGAAAAGCACTTACCACAGCCAGTAGTGTTGATGAACACCTGTACTTCCTGTTATTAGAAAGGATGAAGCTGATGGATCATTTGAGCTCAGGATTTCTGTGTTGCAGTGGGTTAAGCCAATCAATTGTCTATACCAAGTCCAGTACCAATATGATGAGCCCCTGGCAAGAAAAGACCACCAAGCTACCTAAGGAGGAACAAGGGCCCTGGTCAGAAATGGAGCAGGTCAAAGTTTTAATGTCAATCAGTAGTGAGAGTACTTATTATTATTATGTTATCTCATTTAATCTTCCTAACAACCCATGAGATCGTTATTATGCATATTCTTCTTATCTATGTCTTATATATGAGGAAAGTGAGACTCAACAAAGTTGATCATAGCCACAAGGCTAGAAGTGGGATTCAAAGCTAGGTCTATCCTGGTCCCAAACATAGAAAACAGTCTTTTCACTACACCACTTATTTTCCTTTTGTTCGATTAGTGGTGTCTGACTCTTCATGACCCCATTTAGGGTTTTCTTGGCAAAGATACTGGAATGGTTTGTCATTTCTTTCTCCAATTCATTTGACAGATAAAGGAATGGTAAACAGGGTTAAATGACTTGCCCAGGGTTGTGACTTACTCAGCTAGTAAATGTCTGGGGATGATTTGTACTCTGGTCCTCCTGACTCCAGGACCAACACTCTATTCACTGCACCACCTAGCTGCCCCCCACTACAGCACATTGTCTCTCTATTGTCTGGTTTATTTCCATGACCCTTTCAAAAAAAATCTCTTTTTTGGGCTTTGATCATGGATTTGTTACCATTATTTTTATATTTAATTCCATAGTTGTAATCAGTATTATAATCTTCTTTTGGTTTTCCTATCTTCCTTCTGTATTGATTCATGTAAGTGCTATTATATTTCTTTGAATTCTTCATATTTTCTTTCTTTTTGGTCTAAACCTGTGATTTCACTGGTAGGGAACTCTCAGTGAGGAAAATTCATCTACCAAAGCAGATCAGCAATTGTTGCATCTTTAGACCATTGCTTGGGACACTGAAGAGTTAATTTGTCACAAATTAACAGGGACAGAGGTAGATGGATACCACCTCCCTCCATCTCCTCTCTCCTCTGCTGGGAGGGCTGGAGGGAGGAGTACCAAACTCCTTTCAACACCTTCCTTTATAGAAGACGGAAACTGGACTCTTGGCTCACTGCACTGTGCATCTGCTGCTTTGCCTGGTTTCAACTCCATGGAGCAAGATGCCTCTGACACAGGTTAGTCCCTGGTGTCCTGCCCCCACCACCACTACTATTTCTTGCTTCCTTTTGTGTATTATCTACCCCTTAAGATTGTAAAATCCTTGAGGTCAGGGATTATCTTTCTTTTTATTAATTGTATCTCCAGAACTCAGTGCAGTGCTTGGCACATAGTAGTCACTTAATAAATATTTATTGGATTGGATAACATTAAGTGGGACTTGAACCTGAGTTATTCTATTTCCAAAGTCATCTTTTTATCTATTATAGCATGCTACCCCTCATTCCTTTTGAAGCAAAAATATTCTGCTGTAAAATCTTCAGGAAAATGATCTTTACTCATATCAAGGGTAGACTTGATGAAGATATGAGAATAGATTTAGGTTTTTGCAAGCAATCAATCAATCTACAACCATTTATTAAGTGTCTCCTATGTGCTAGACACCGTGCTAGGTTCTAGAGACGAAAATATAAAAAAAAAATGAGGCAGTACCCATCCCACCCTGCACAGAGCTTATATTCTGCTGAGGATTTACAATATGTTCACAAATGGGCAAATACAAGATGAACACATAAGAATTTGGGGCTAGGGGAAGAGGAATCCTAATAACTGGAACAGTTGGGAAAGGATTCTTGAATGGTGAGGCACTTGAAATGGACCTCAACGGGATGTAGGCTTTCTAAGAGGTAGAAAGGAGAAGGGAGAACATTCCAGGAATGGAAGACAACATGTTCAAAGATTAGAAAGTGGAAGATGGACTGCTGTACATGGCTAACAGTCAGTTTGACTAACAGTATGCAGAGGATGCAGGTAATGTGGAATCAGGTTGAAAAAAAAAAGACTAGAACCAGCTTGTGAATGTTTTTAAATGCCGGACAAAGGACTTTCTATTTTATCCCAAAGGCAATAGAAGTCACTGAATGTTTTAAGGAAAGGAGTAACATTTGATAACTATGAGGAAGATAGATTGAAGAGAAAGGAGAGACTGAAAGTAGAAAGACCAGTTAGGAGGCCAGAGATGACGAGGTCCTGAACTGGGGTACAGTGCGGTATGAGTAGAGAGAAGAGAATAGAGCTTATAAGCTTATCGAAGGATAAAATACAAAGACATATACTTATAGGTGTTGGACATTTATTTGTATAAAATATAATACCGTATAAGTACTGCAAAGAGTTATAAAACTATATAATGTGTATCTATGTAATATTACATGATAAGTGCTGTAAAGAGTTATAAAACTAGGTACTATGTGACCTGAAAAGTTTGGGGGTTTTGGGTTTTATTTTGTTTTTTTTATTGGGTAGAGGGTCCATGAAGTCTTCATGGGGAAGTGACATTTAAATTAGACTTTAGAGGATAGGTAGGAATATAACAAAGGCAGCTAGGTAGTGCCATAGTGCATAAAGTGCCTGGCCTGGAGTCAGGAAGACTCATCTTTCTGAGTTTAAATCTGGCCTCAGACTTTTACTAGCTATAATACCCTGGGCAAGTCACTTAACCCTGTTTGCCTCAGGTCCTCATCTGTAAAATGAGCTGGAGAAGGAAATGACAAACCACTCCAGTATCTCTGCCAAGAAAAATCTCAAATGGGGTCACAAAGAGGCGAACACGACCGAAAAATGACGGAACAACAGCAATATAGCAGGCAGAACAGACATAGGGAGTGCTGAACACTCTGTCAAGAAGTGGGAGAGTATGTATGTTAGGAGACTGACAAAAGCAACCCAAACCAATTAGAGTGCTGAGTGCATGTAAGGACACTATGAGGGCAGGGTGAAAAGGTGCTGCAGCAACAAACCACAGAGGGCCTTGAATGCCAAGTAAGAGTATGAACTTTTTCTTTGATATCTGTAATATGCACCTAGACAAGCAAGAGTCACATTTGCATGAATGTTTGCTTAAAATCAAAGTGACTTTTATGAATATGAATGAATAATGCACCTTGTGGAAATGTCTATGAATATTCCTTACTGTCATTTTCATAGGTCAAACTCCTTAAAAGTATGTATACTACCTGGAGGAATTACTCTGGATTTTCTTTTTTTTAATTATTTATTTTTAATTTATGGAATAAAACAAAAACATGGTATAATTTAAAAAAAAAAAGATGATTACTCTGGCTTTCCTTGAGTCTTCAGCACAGCTGCATGCACAAACTCTATTCACCACTAGAATCTTTCAATATAAGGCACCAGGATAGAATGTTGGCACTGGAATCAAGAAGACTTGAGTTTAAATCCTGTCCCTAATACTTAATAGCCATATGATCCTGTGCTCAAATAACCTAAATCTCTAAGCCTCAGTTTCCCTATTTGTAAAAGAGGAACATTGATACTTCTAGTAGCAAAGTCACAAGGTCATCATGAGACGCAAATGAGATAAAAGTTGCCAAACGCTTTACATACGTGACTGCAGTAATATAAAAAGGTCTATTATTATTAGGTACATGGGAAGATTTCACCATTTTTCTCACTTCCAGCACCACTCAAAAAATTTTCAAAAAGTTCCAGAATTACCCAATTCTATAGTAAGACTTTTACTCCTTCTTCATAGTAAGCAGGTTTCTACTGAATGAGAAGCTTATACACCTAGAATGGAAGTCCTTAATCTTTTTTGGTGTCATGGATACCCCCTGACAGACTGGTGAAGCCCTTCTCAGAATTGTGTTTTTGAATGCATAGAATAAAATGTATACAATTGAAAAGGAGACCAATTGTATTGAAATACAGTTTTCAAAATATTAGAGAAAAAATACCAAGTTCCCAGACCCCAGGTTGACAATGCTTAATTCTAGCACAATTTTCTGCTTAAAAAAGGCAGAATTTCCAGTATAAAAAATGAATTTGGTACTAACAAGGCCAAATGTCTCAATAGCAACTTACAATATTTCAGCCAAAAGTATAACAAATTAATTTTAAAACAAAAAGAATTTCTAGATCCCCAAATCTAGGTGGTACATTGGATAGAATCAAGAAGACCTGACTTTAAATCTGACCCCAGATACTTACTAGCTATGTGAGTCACTTAATCTATGCCAGCCTAAATTTCCTCATTTATAAAATGAAGATAATAATAACACTTACTTCCCAGGATTGTTGTGAGGATCAAATGTGATAATATTTTGCGTCACTTTGCAAAACTTAAAATAAGTTCTAGTTATTATCACTATTATGACCTCATCTAAAAAATAAAAAGTAATCTACACTTTAAAAACAATCCTTAGGGGGCAGCTAGGTGGTACAGTGGATAGAGCACCAGCCCTGGATTCAGGAAGACCTGAGTTCAAATTCGGTCTCAGACACATAACACTTATTAGCTGTGTGACCCCCAGGCAAGTCATTTAACCCCATTGCCTAGCCAAAAAAAAAAAAAAAAAGAAGAAGTAAAAACAGTCCTTAGAGAGGTTCAGCTTTGTCTATGTTATTGCTTAAAAAAAAACAAAAAAACTTTGGGAAAACCATTATATACATGGTATCCCAAAAATTCTTAGTGTAATTTAAAGCTAGTAAAGCTTAAAACTATGGTAAGACACATTTGAGTTTTTCTGCATTGTTTTCAAGTATTTCTTCTGGAGCAAATTTAATCATTGGAATAATTGGAGTGATGTGCTAGAAATCCCAAGCTCTATACTTCAATCTCAGTCTACTTTAGGATCCTTAATAGAGGCTTCACCAGGGATTGCATAAACTCTATGAAAAGCACCTTTGTGGGGGAGTCGGAGCAGGGAAGAGATGTGTGTGTATGTTTGTGTATGTACACACATACCTGTATTTATATATAAACATATATGTGTGTATAAACGTGTTGTATATACACATTTTATAAATATATGTATACATGCATGCATATATGTGTATTGCCCTCTTTTAAACAACCCATTCTCTCTGGGTCACAGTCTTCATAATCTGTAAAAATGAAAATAATTCAGTCTTTCTTTTG